AACTGCGGGGAACTATGCAAAAAACGCATCTTCGCACGGGCAGCCCGTGCGTTGGCCAATTATTCAGATTTAGTGCAAAAAATATGAGCCAGCAGAACACAGTGGGTTATCGTGCAGTAGTTCGAGAATACAGTTCCCTCCAGTGCGACAACCAGTCCCTTCACGATTCTTTATTCTTTTCGCTAGTAAATTGGTACCCGCCATAAGTTTGGTGCTTCTAAACGACCGTCGAAGAAGAGAGCCATCGATAGTCATGAGAACCAGCCGGCGATGGTTGCTGTTGACTGACATTCGATACCATTCGAGCTACTTCCCAAGCCTTTCATTAAGAGCAATATAAATGGCCAACGCACGGGCTGCCCGTGCGAAGATGCGTTTTTTTGCAGAGTTCCCCGCAGTTTCTGTCGCTACCGGCATCGGTCTTTTCGGCAGATGCTCCTATCTGAAAGAATATCAGGCTGGCCGCCAGGACTGTCTGGAAACATCCCCTCAAAATTCCACTCTTCTAGCTCCTCCCGTTCTCGAGCAAGTAACTTACCCGGAAGGAACTTTTCATGGGCCTGCACGCTTCTCGAGTAATCAACTCACCCGGAAGGAACTTTTCACGGGCCTGTACGTAGGTACCACGCTTACCAGCGGACAGGGTTTGAACTCGTTAATACCCACTTAGACAGGGAACACCCCCTAAGATTTCAGCTCTCTAGCTTCTGAGAACCCTGAGTTATGAATTTACGCGGTAAAAATTTTGGGGGGCTCGTACGCGGGTACCACGCTTACTTGGGGGCTGGATTTTAGCTCATTAGTACCTACTTGGGCGGGATATGCGGGTACCACGCCTACCCGGGGGCTGGATTTGATCTCATTAGTACCTACTTGGGCGGGGAACGAATTTCAGTCTCTAGCATCTCAGAACCCCGAGTTATGAATTTACGCGGGAAAAATTTTGGGGGGCTCGTACGCGTACCACGCTTACCCGGGGGCTGGATTTGAGCTCATCTACCTATTTGGACGGGGAACATTCCCATAAAATTTCAGCTCTCTAGCTTTTCTGGTTCGCGAGTTAGCAGCTTGGGGCGGGGAACATTCCCATAAAATTTCAGCTCTCTAGCTTTTCTGGTTCGCGAGTTAACAGCTTACTCGTAAAAAATTTCGGCGGGGTCTTACATGGGTACCACGCGGGAAAGACCGCCCATTTTAGGGATAGGGGCCCGTAGGGGGCCCGTACGCGGGTACCACGCGGGTTTTGGCGCCAATTTTGGGGATGGGGGCTCGAACGTGCTCGTGGATTAAGTCCCCAAAGTTTCAGCCCCGTAGCTTTTGCCGGTCTCGAGATGAAAAATCGGTACAAAGGCCCAGCGCACACACAGACACACACACAGACACACACACACACACACAGGCAGCCTCTCGTCAATATGCGTTTTTCGCATTGCATTGCTGCAAAAAACGCATAAAAAACGGAGAGAGTTTGTGACTTTTCGTATCAGACCTCTTGGTATGCCTCCATGCGTACATGCATGTATGATTCAGGGCCTATATCGATCCTTGTTAATTGTGTTTAACACGCATGTTAGTTACATTTTATGCCTTGATTTTCGCAGACACTACTATCGATATGTGCTGTCACTCACAATTATCTGAAACCTTTGAGGCACGACATTTTTCCGAGTTGCTCAAGAGGTTCAAAGTTTCAGCCGGTGTGCTTAAAAAGTAATCAGACATGGGGTGAATTCCCAGGGTTTTACACGAGAAGCCAGGTTTGGTTGGGTCGAGAAGAGTTATATCCCCAGCAGGATCGAGAAGAGTTGTATCCTTTAGCCGTTGTTGATTTTTTAGATCGGTTTAGAAAGAAAAGCGCTTGAAAAGCAATAGGGGGCGAGTGATTTCAACTACCCGGACTTTGATTATGGAGCTTCGGTATTTAATGAGATACCCATTCGAACACCCGAGCATTGTTATGGCGGATAGCACTGTAAAAGTTTTCGGTTTCAGACTTACTCAGCGGTCTTTACGTAGTGGTTCAATCCGTTTATGACGCCTGAAAGCATTCCATTTTGTCAGTTCTGGAATTGTTTTCCCCAGGAGTGGACTGTTCTTTCCACGTATAGGCAAAAAAAGACGCTTGTGGAGGAATTTAAAGATTTTTCGAAAAGTTTGTTATTGATTATCGCGTTTCAGACCTCGTGCGTTTGGATCGTTACGATACTCGAATAGAAATACACGCTTCGTCAGAAATAGCTCCAGTGGCAGCAGCAATCTGTGGCGTCCACGGAGCATGATTGCAAGAAATCGTGCACCTCGTTACCGGAACAATCGTAGTTTCAGATGGATTGCCCCGCAGTTCAGCAATAAGCGAGCAACGATAACGAGGGAAGAATTGGACAGGGATCTTGAAGAGTACATGAAGAAAGGAAAGCACCCACCAATCGATGTTTCTGATCTCAAATAGATCTTTTGGCCACCGTCCCTGGTCCTCTCCACTCCTCTCCCTCCCTCTCTCTTGTTCT